ACGGGCTATCAGAATCTATAATTACTTTCTCCAAAATGTTGATTTATAGTGATAATTTATTGAAAATACTTTGTCGAACTATTTTTGTCCAGGGGGATATAAGATATGTAACAGTAGTTTTCAAAATAATTTAATTCATATAAGTACACAGAAACTTTTTCGATGTCAATATAAATTTTGATATGTATATCAACGTTCATTTTGCAAGAAATATTCTCTTGTATTGAGTCATAAATACTAGTCATGTTCTATATGAAAAAAAATCGCATGAAGGTGAGTAAACGAGATCCAATATGAACGATATTCGATATATGTAGAATAGGAAAACAAAATTAGTAAGTCTCGTTCTGTACTTCCGATTTTTACATAGACTTCATTCACTTTTTACACAAATTGTGTTCTTTTCCAACATGTTTGTCTGTCCTTGTTGAATGACCTTTTTTAAATCTCTAAGAAATACAGTTCCATATTTTTCAATCATTCCGCAGCTGATCATCAGAAAAATGGTTTGAAAAAGTTTTACAAATTTTTTAAATAAAATTTTATATGCTATAAATGATTTTATCTTTGATATTTCTATGTTCAATCGATTATATTTATCGAGTTTTCTTGAATTTGAATATGTACGATAACCAAAAGGTTGAATTTAAATAAAAACTACTCTAATGCATTCGCCATGTTAATGCTTTAGTAAATTTAACAAAAAAAAATATTCTCTTCCATTAATTGTCGAAAATAACGACAAAAACATTACCGATGACGTCTTTAGAACTAAACATCTAATACCAATTGATTTGACCAAGATAATGTGATGGCACCAGCTGTTGCTATTGTTGAGATTCCTCATTAATTCATTTTCTCCTTTTCTTTTTTATTTTCGTGCACAAATCGATTTAGGTTGAAGAGAAAAAAATTAAATAACAAAGTGAATAGAAAGAACAGGCAAAAAAATATAGATGAAAAATGGCAGACAAGTATCTCTCTGTCTCTCTCTCACTCTATATATATATATATACATTACGCCTATTTAGTCAATTTTCAAGACTAGTTTTTCGTCCCTTCCTTTCCAAACCGATTTTTCTTCGTGGTATCTAAGTTCGAAATATTACAAAATCTTTAACAATTCAACGAAGCATTCTTCTTTTATTTCAATAATTAACAACAGATCCCGAAGCATATCCACAGGTAGGATTCGAAAAATAAGATGAAAAGGAAGCAACAATAAAATTTGTTCGTTTCGAATCATGTGAAAAATAGAGCTTGTGGGCGGAAAATACAATACGACAAGGGCTATGCACGAGCAACAGCTGCTTAACACATTAAACGCCTAGTGTGACAAAAGAGAGAAATAAACGAATATTTGTACTCTATAAGATATATAACCATGTATATATACTTCGTTTTTTTTTTCATTTAGATATTATCTATTTTGTACATAAAATAAATAAAGTCAATCATGACGGATATTGAACCATCAGAAGAATTAACTGGCAATATGCAACAGCTAATATCAGCTAAAGCTGAGGAATTATTTAATTTATGTGATACAGAACAAAAAGGTTTTATTATAAAAAAAGATATGCAACGTTTACGTGATGAACTTGGTGTTGAACCTGAACAACTTGAAGATGTTTTTGATTCATTAGATATTGATCATAATGGTTATCTTACATTAGAAGAATTCACATGTAAAATATTATTTATTTATTTATTTTTATTTCATATATTTTTTGTTCTTTTTTTAGCTGGTTTTGGAATGTTTCTTGGTGATCAAATTGGTGATGGAAGTGGTAATGAACAAGAAATGATCGAACATAATTCAAATGATAAAGAAGAACAACAATTATTTCATGATACATTAGAAGCATTAGGAGCTAAAGATTTATATGATGATGAAGAAACAATAATGGGTTTATGGATGAAATTACGTGAAAATGATCCTGTTTTATTACGACAATTTGAACAATTTATTGGTAAAATTACACAAGAAATTCGACGTTCAAAATTAGATCATAGAAGTATTGAAGCTGCCTTACAAAGTAAATCATCAGTACATGAATCTGAAATAAAAAAATTATATGATGAAATGGAACAACAAATAAAAGCTGAAAAAGCCAAAGTTCTTGCACAAGTAAATATTTTCTATGTCTTTAAAAAATTGTTTTCTTTTTTGCTTTTTGTTTTCTAATAGGAAAAATTAAAAGAACGTGAACTTCGAGAACAAATGGATCGTGAATTACGTTTAAAAGAACAACAATTATCTGAATTAACAAAAAAACAAAGTGATTTAGAAATGAAATTACTTCGATTAAATTTAAACGAATCGGAAACAAAAAATGAAAATGAACGATTACAAAAAGTTGATTGATTTGTTATTTTCATTTAAGAGTACTGCCCTCCCCTCTTCCGAGATTTCTGAAAAACGGTTCATCAAAAAAAAAATTTGAAATTTTCCGGGCAGATGATTTTTGACCACTAAAGAAAAGATTGTCATAGACTCAAGATTCCTAGATGCTGTCTGCTATGAGGTGTTGCGATCATAATGATTCCGTGTCTTCGAAATGCTATACGTGATCGAGCTGAAATGCTTTGTTGAGGTACTAGAAAACGTTTGGAGTGGGTATCTTTTTGTTTTTTTGTACTTCAAAGAGTTGGTTTGAGAAAAACACGAAACAATATACAGATTGGTTTCTTGTCAAATTGTGTCACGTTTGATTACAATTTTTGAATTGCAAAACAGATAGAGATTAGATATTGTTTCAGCCTAAACAGTGGTCACAAAAAATCAAAACTTTTGGGTCATGAAAAGACGAGGGGAGGAGAGAGGATACTTAAATCATATTGTATAATTTTATCAATTAATTACTTTTTTCTTTTTAAGGAAAAAGTTCAACTTGAAGAGCAATTACAAGAATTAACAAAGGGTCTTGAAGAATCGAAAAATTATATATCTCAATTACAAAATCAAACAAAAAAAGAAAAACGAGATCGAGCAAAGTATTTATTTAGTTGAAAAAATCGTCTTAATATTATTGATTTTTGTATTTAGACAAGCTTTGAATTTAACAGAAAACATTGCTATTGAGCGTGAAAATCTTGTTAAACAACTTGATTCACTTAAGTAAGAAAAGCAAAATGCGTTGTTTTTTTTTAATGTATGAAAATATTATGAAAATTTCTTAGAACTATTAATAAACGATTGGTTGATGAACGTGATCTTAGCCAAGGTTCTAAAGTAAGTTATTTATTATATAAACTTTGTTCTGAACTCTAATTGTCTATTGATTGTGTTCGATGTTTAAGTTGAGAATTAAATATTAAAATTTATGTACTCTTTACATACATAAGAATAGATCTTAAAGTTAACAATTGTCGAAATTTATTTCTTGAAATTTCACGATAAAATTTATTCTAACGTAAAAGATAACTAAAAGCTCATTCTTTTGAGTTGAAGTTCTCTTCGAACTTAACTAGATATATGATAGTTTGCGATTGAGGAACTGAACTGGTATCACTCATCCCGTTCTGTTCAAAAGAGCTAAACTGTTCAAACATATGAGTTCTAAATGTACGACAGCTATAGGTCTGTGGTTCCAAAAATTACCCGAAACCGAACCGGGAACCGGAACCGCGGTTCCGGGTCCGGTTCCCAATGATTCAAAAATAGCGGCTCCGGTTCGGTTCCAAAAATATTCCATAGAATCGCGGAACCGTTTAGTTATCTGAGTGTGGCTGTGACTTGGAGTTCATTAGATATGGTTATGCCTGTAGTATGTTGCTGAATAGAAGACTCGCATCCCCAACTCAAGAATAACATTAGGTCTTGTGTAATATGCATGGTGCATCATTTTAATAAAAATTTTCTTCTGAAAAAACTCGATGTCGGCAGTCATACAACAGAAGAACGGTTCCGGTTCCTTNATCGCTGTTTTAATGAAATTTTAGCTTTTAGTGTGGTATGTACAAAAGAATCGAATGACGATATTTCATCCATAGATAAACCTACTTGTAACTGGAATGTTTCCTTTAAGAGATACTGAATGTCTAAAAGATAACTGATATTTCACAAAAGACTCAAGAATTTCATGTTTTCTAGAAATTCAATATCTCGCGAATAGAGCATTCTTTTAAGCTGAAATTTTCAGAACATTCTAATTACTAATAGGCCTATCTACGGATAAAATATCGTCATTTGATTCTTTTGTACGTACCACGGCATAAGCTAAAATTTTAGTAAAACGACGATAGATTGGTAGAAAATTCTTAAGGATACTTATACTTCTGAAGATTTTTAATACTATATTGGAATCTATCTGATGCACAGTGTCTGAACTCAAAAACGATTTTCAAGTTGAAAAGGTTCTCCAGTCATAATACAAAAAGTTCTGTGACATAATATTTGCAAAGATTATTTTCTAACTGACTAATCATAATCGAATGATAGAAAATGGAAAAATCATTCAAAATACATGTGAATATTTTAGCAACAAGAACGTTCTCCATCTCCATCTCATTCATCAAGAAAACCAATTCGAAAACAAGGTTCCATTCTCTCAGATTATTTTAGTTCACCACATAGGTATATTTTATACTTCATTTATTTCTTCTTTGAACATAAATGTACTTATTTTATTGATAGAAAAAATAGTGAACCAGAAGAAGATGATGATCTAATGAATTCTTTGAATGACGGTGAAAGTGGAAATGGTATGGACTCAACACGAAATCAAAAACGTCGTTCCAGGTATTACTTCATTTCCTTTTATTTTAAATTTCGAATCATTTCATATCTCTGATTAATCGACCAATTTTCTGATGATAATGGGCGCTTTTTTGCCCTGTTCGTTCGTTTACATTCATTTAGATATTTAAAACGATGTGAAAATGAAACATCAACTAATAGTAACACTGAATCAGAACGAAATAAAACAAAAAGTCATCATCAATATCGACGATGTTCCAGAAGGTCAGTTAGTTGGATGAGCAAAATTTGCTTTAAAAAAAACAGAAAAATTAAAGAATAAAAATTTAATTTTTTCTTTTTTCATGTTTATTTTAGATATCGTCAATTACCTTCTGGTAGTAGTGAATCGGAAGATATGAATGATAATCTTGATAAATTACTTATATCCAATTTTAGAAGACATCGTTATAAAATTAATTATATGTCAAATCGAGATTTAATTCGTCTGTATGAGACGTGATCCATTCTTTTCTGTTTATTTATTAATTTCAATGTTTATTTGAAAATACAAAAAAAAAATTATTTGTAAATTTTAATTTTTAGAGCCAAAGAATTGGGTGCACGTGAACAACCAGTTGGTGCTAATTCAGTATTTCAACATTCAGAATTAATGGTAAATATAATTGATATCATTGGGTTCTTTTTAGTTTTGAATTATTTCTTTTAGAATGTTGCACCTAATGCAGTACCGGATCGAATGTTTAAAATAGCATTTATCGGTTTGTACAATAAGAAAAAAACAATCGATTTTGAAATCATTTTTACGATTTGTTTAGGCGATAGTGGTGTTGGAAAAACAAGTTTTATTCAACGATTTTGTACTGACAATTTTAAAGATACATTTTCAGCAACAATTGGTATTGATCTTCAAGTTAAAATGATCAATATTGATAGTCGTATTATTGCATTACAATTATGGGATACTGTAAGAAAAAAATAATAATTTGATATTATTTTATTTTATTATTATTATTATTTTTGTAGGCTGGTCAAGAAAGGTTTGTTTGATTTTTAGAGAAATAATTATTTAATTTTGATTTATTTAATAATAGATTTCGAAGTATAACAAAACAATATTTTCGTAAAGCTGACGGTGTTATTTTGGTTTATGATGTGACATCTGAAGTAACATTTCGAAATGTTCGAGGATGGATGACAAGTGTTCGTGTATGTTTATTAACGAGATATAATAATAATTCTTCTTATGATTATCTTTAAAGGAATCAGCTGAAGATGATTGTGTTGTAGCACTTGTCGGAAATAAAACTGACTTATGTGATGATGATGAAAAACGACCGGTGAAATATAAAGATGGAGCAAAATTAGCTGATGTAGATAGTTATTTTTTTAAATCCTATTTCAAAATTATTTTATTTTTCATAGGAATATGGATGTTTATTTTTTGAAAGTAGTGCACGATTAGGCACATCAATTGTTGAAATAATGGAAGCAATTGCTCGGTGAGTTACTCTAATGATATACGTATTTCTCTATATAGTAGTTTATTATAGATTAATGCAAGAAAAAGATGATAAACAACGTAAAGGTGAAAATGTAGTCGATATATCATCAAAGAAGAAAAAGCGTAGCTGCTGCTAGTCAGTTCAAATATCTTTCTATTATCATCTTTGTACATGAAAAATGCACTGCAGCGCAGTTGTTATGGTTTCTTTTTTTCCCTCAATTTTACTGTTTCTATCATTTTTTTCATATTTATGTACTTTGTTGTTGATGATAAGGTGTTGGGCATATTGGGATCTCTAAACATGCACATGAAAGCCAAAAGAGAATAAACGATTCATCTATTGTTAATGATTATAAATTAAAAAAAAAGGCAAATTAATAAAATATATATCAAAAAAGGGTATTACTACAAGGTAAAATTATATTTATATGAATTGCTAAATACAAACATGCATTTGATATAAATGAATAAGTTGTCCCTGAAAAGAATTCAGATAAAATAGATGTTAGAAAGCAATGTATTGAATAATAATCTGTTGATCTTCTATTTGTCCTTATTCTTTTTGTAAGAAAGCAACTAACAGACGAAAATCGTTATTCGACTTCATAGGATATATATATATATTGCACAGCATACAGTCATTTTAATTGCACGACTAACGATTACATCCGTTATACCGATAAACACGTCCATGATGCTTTAGGCAATCAATCTTATCGGAAACTTTTTTCTCTCTATATTATATATATATGTCTGTCGATCGTTTGTCATTTACATATCGTTACAAAGAACACAATCTTATTCTCAAAATAACACAAATAGACATATAGCTAGAAAACATCTGTCAACGACATGTAAGTGTCATTTCATCACATATTTTAATTTGAGCATATACAATTGACTTCATAGATAATAATGATGTGCTATTTTATTATTCTATTCTTCATTATAATAACAATTAATTGTCAACAATTAGATGAAATTGTTGAATGTAACGATAAAGATTTAACTACGTATCAATTAGAAACAATGAGTATCCGTGAACAAGAACAACTTGTAAATAAACATTTTATTTTAAATACAATAAAAAAAATATATATCAAACGGTTTTTCCATGTATATTTGATTGCTCAATAAGTGTTGAATTTACTAGCGAAGAAATCGAACTTGCTTACAAATTTTTTATCTGTCAGAATTTCCCCTCAGGGTAATATCATGACACATTAAACTTAACATCTTTTTCTCACTAGCGGAAAGAGATACTCTTAGAATGTTCTTGTGTATAATACAATGTGTTGATCACGTCCTACATTCAAGCACTAGAAAGATTATTTTTACTAGAAGGTCTCATTAATTTTGAATATTTTTCTCAGATCGTTATCTTCCAAAATTTAAATAGACTTTTTTAAATACTCTTTTCTGAATAATGAATATAAAATCTAAAACCAAGAATATACAGAAAAACTGTTCGATTTTTATTTTCAATTTTATTGTCATTGTATATATCTGTAAAATTCATAGGCTAAGAAAATTTTAACTGAATACGATAAAAATTTAACAACTCTTGCTTATATAACATCGTCAGCAGAATTTGAAACACATTTATATTTAAATGATACAAGTAAAAAACGTACAACGGTAAAATTTTCAATGAATAATTATTTTATCACATAAAGAGAAAAATTTTCTTTGTATCTAGGATAAATGTTATGAAACTTATCGTGATTGTTTAAAAACAACTGCAACGGTTGGTAAACAATTTAAAAATTTAATACATCAAAATTCATCATTACGTTGGTTATTAATGCGTACACAAGCTATTGGTGATGCTGCACAAAATGACACAGCTATTAAAGTCGAAATACAAAAATTAAAAGCTCGTATTAAAGAAATTTATCATAGGAAATTTACTTGGAATAATACAAGAATAGGCATTGATGGTTTGTATTTGTTTTTTATATTCAAAACAATTAATATGAATTCGATCGGTATTTTTAGAAGTACAAGAGATACTTGGCACACTTAATTCACCAAATGATCTTCTTGCATTATGGAATACAACTTATGACGTAGCTGCACCAATGCGTGATTACTATTCAACATTGATTGCTTTACAAAATCAACAGGCCAAACAGAATCGTACCTCAGCAGTAACCCATTCTCACATATAGTCCTTCAGCTTATTTCTAAAAGATATTATTTACAAAAAATTCTTCATTTATAATTGATGAAAGATTATTAAGATATTTTCAAATATTTTTTTAACCATAAATATGCATCGTTATGTATTATTCATTGATTATTTAAGTATCATCAAATTAAGTTTTTGCTTTCTTTTGACGAAGATAACAATCTTTAAAATAGTCTACCGTCTTACTCTTACCTATGGTCAGGAACAATCGATTATAACAGAAGGGGTTTCATTGGGAATACAGGGTAACCGAGATGCGATTCTTGAGGAAGACGGCGAGTTTCACACTTCGGGATCGAGTCCACAGCTCAATAATACGAGAGTCTCGTTAAAATAAATTACTGCTGCTTCATCTTGAGAGATCATAGCTACGCTGATTGGAATATACCCTAAGAATATCACATGAGAGATTGATCTATCAAGTATTTGAAGCTACGCCGCAGAAGAACGGTCGATCTGGCGTCCACACTTAAATTGATGCAACCACCATATCATGCGATTATATTAAGAAGGATTGAGATTTTCATGGACCGACGTTATTACTACTGTATACAACTGAGATCAGTGTAAGAATCTGTTGAACATACTTTTAAAACCTCAATCCTAAAGGATAAGAGGAAACAAAAATGAATCTTTGGTTGATACCTTTTCATTTATTCGTTATAACAACTGCTTTGAAATAAGTCAATTTTGAATTTATTCCGGTGATAAGAAATTGAAGAAATTCATGATAAGAAAGGCCATAGCTACAGACTTAGTTTTGTTTTAAGACATAAAAAAGTCGAAATTGAGATTGAGATATTCAGAATAAATATTGAGCTTTCTAATTGAACTTGATATATTGATATCTTCATTGAATATTATACTTTTGGCACTTTTCTTCTGTCAGTTTATTTATTCTTTTCATACTTTCTACTTCATCTTTCGTACTATTTCCAACTGCTTTTAGTTTGTTAAATCTCATTACGTTCTTTACAGCTTAATGGAAAAATAATAAAATTGCTTAAAGAAACTGCAAAATGTCAAAAGAGTTATATAAATAAATGATGCATATGGCGATGAATGAGAAAAACTAGAAACTTCACAATATAACGAAATTAACCGAAAAGATAGACCGGAATAATTTAATTTACTGTAGGCCTATTCTATATTGATCTGATTAATAAGATTGTATCATAACCAGGAATCAATAAGTTGATTCTACGTAGTTTCAAAAGTTGAGAACAGAACTAATCTTGGAAAGAAAGACTGCCTAGAAAGTAGCTAAACAAAGAGCAATTTGAATATTACCATCATAATTCGAACATATGTGTTCACATTTTTACTGCTAATAAAGTAGTGCTCATAGCTCATATCGATAATAGAAACATTGTTAAAAATAAATTTTGAAGTATCTACGATTAATTTTAACAAAGAACTGTAACCTTTCAAAAGTTATGAAAAAATATTTTATTTATTCCCTTAGCCAAGAACAAACGACATCTCGTTTTTTCGATTAATTCTTCACACTAGTATTGTTCGGGCTTATATTAATACTACAAATACATGTCTTATTACCAAATATATCTTGAAATTTGTCGTCATAAACAGCAAGAATTCGTTGAAAAAACTACAATATTAATTTTTCATAATTCGTGACATATTACCGATCTTTGTTGAAGTCAATTGTGCTACTTAAAAACAATTTTTCAGAACATTTCTCATAAATTTTTCTTTGTATAGTTATGTCCTGAACACCGTATATAATGAAGATGAAACTAGAACTAGAACTGAAGCAAGTATATTGCAAAGCTTCTCCTTAGTTGAATTTTATTGAAGTATCTTGATTGAAATTAATTACATGTTACTCAATTAATAGCATGCAACAAAAATACGATCTTTCAATAGGCTACAAAAACTTTTGTCAATTGGTTTTTTCCCTACAGTTGAACGATCGATGATTATTTTTTCTATTTCCTACTACATTCAAGCTGTGTACATGTAAGGAGAAAGTGCAAGCTTAGATCTCTCACTACTTTTTGCCACTGAAACTGCTGTGAAGTTGATCCCTATTTGGAATTAGATCAGAAATTAAGGTGATAGCTACGAAAGAATGTCATACTATTTCAATGCATTTTTTTCATAAAACTTGCCTTAAGGTTGTTCGGGTCGCAAAAATCCGAATCTCTAAATGGTTTTTTTCTGTCAGAGGAGCGTATCCCCTGCGATTTACTCACATTTCTTAATATTCAGCTATTTACTTGAAATAGATTCTTCTTGACTAGAAATATCAAACTCAAGAATATTGAAAAACCAATTAAAGATTCGAATGCCTTGACATCGAAAATCTTCAGTAAAGTTTTATAAAAATCGTTACTTTCGAAAAATAGCCTTGTCTTGATTGAAAAAAGTCTAATTGAAATAGTATGACTCTCACTCATAACTACCATCTTCATTATCAGTTTAGTTTCCAATATGTATGAGCACCACAGTATCTTCAGTACTTTTCTGCATCTTGTAGTACAATTTGGCGATTAGGTACTGTACTTACTCGCTTGCGTACGTAGTACTTAGATGATTATCAAATTATTTTACATATTCAAATTTCTGTTTAAAATGTTTGGAAATATCTTGAATCTCTCATTAATTTAAACTAAAGCTATTTTAAAAAATCTTTTCTTCAACAAATTAATCAACATCACATAACTATCCTTGAATTTTTTCTCTATTGAAATAATTATCCTACATATTCGCTTGTTTTTTTTCCTTTCGAAGATATGAACGACAAAAGTGAATCAATAACAAATGCTGAAGAACGTCGTGTTGTTG